AATGGTGACAGAATACGACAAAGGGCTTGAAAAGAGTCGAAGCTCATTCGAAAATGCTCTCTAAAAAAGTCATGCATGGCAGGATTCCTATGGATTTCCCCAAACCATCGCTGGTCTCTTGGATATACCCAGACTCGAGGACGATTCATTCGACGGTGATGGAGAACACTCTGACGTCTACGCGAAATTAACATCATTTTTGAAAGATCTGCCTTAGAAATTTGCGTAGTGCGCATTAGAAGGAAGAGGGACTGCCTTAGCCGTGAGTGGAGAGAAAGGAAACGAAAACAAGAAAAAAAAAAGAATTGAGAATATAACAACAGACTGAACAGGGTCCTCGAAGTCTGCCATTTTGTTGGTTTATCTGATGACGTCAATTGAGTTTAACCCACTTCATAACCCATCTCAGTGCGGCCGCTCATAAAATATAACCCCGTTATTTTATTATAACCAACCTTTAACCGAGTTAAGTTGTTTAGAATTTTTAACCAGCCAGGTTTCTACAAAATAAACCTAGTTAACTCTCTTAGTGCGGCCGCAGCCAATAGCATTCTCGACCCCAAAGCTATTGTCTTTTGCGCATGACTGATGGCTCAAATAGCTCTGGGGAACTCGGCACTGAATAGTCTGTCCTGATAAGCAATCGATACCTCTGGGAGAAATTGAAAGTTATGCCAGAATTAGTAGCAGCGGTTACTCTCTTTACGCATGTTCAGAAACTGGTGATGCGATTAAACTTGAACGAATGTGCACAATCAAACTGGAACGAGGATTTTCTGGTTTCAGTTTCATTCTCGTCCCCAGAGGCCGCACTCCTTTTGGTCAGCACCAAGAATCGCGATTCTTGGTGCTGACCAAAACGAGCGCCGCCTCTGGGAACGAGAATGGTATCAGTTTATGATTTCGTCTAGGGCGTCTGGCGTTAGGTTACCCCTGACCGAAAACGCTCTTGCTCTGGAGACGAGACTGAGTCAATACCTGCGACTTGTATTTCTCTCGCTATTTCGATGCCGGCTAGGTTTCAAATGTCGAAACATCCTTCAGCGTTATGCAGTCAAGGCTTCGACGGAAGGCAGGATTTAGGTATCGGGGCAATCGGCATGTCGATAGTGAAAATCATCTTAAAACAATTCAATCTATATGTTCATTGTTTCAGGTTTATCTGGTGACGCACATTTCGACGACGACGAAAGATTTACAACTGGAACGAGCGACGGCATCAACTTGGACTGGGTGGCGGTTCACGAGTTTGGACACAGCATGGGCCTGGAACATTCTAACGTGCGGGAATCCATAATGTACCCTTGGTACAAAGGTTATTTCCCAAATATCGAGCTTACCTATGATGATATACAAGGAATACAGGCGCTTTATGGTGAGTATAAGTTCCAACTTACATGAAGGTACGCTGTTAAATGACAAGGTAAAAGAAAATGTGCTCACAATATTTTCTACCGAACGCAAACTCGCAATTAGGAGTCGTGTCTACTTTCCTGATATTCTGCATTATAAACCATTAAATATTTTCTCTTGCGAAAGATTGGTCTTAACGCGTCACGTGACTGAATGTGCCCCAGCTAAAACTGGGCAACATTACTCGGATATTCTGCCCGTGTTCCGAAAAACATTTGAAGGATAATAACCACAATAGACTCCTTTTGGCGCAAAAATATGTTCAGATATTTGTCCTTGGACATTATCTGTTCCTCGAAGATCATAGTTTTCCTTGAGCTGCGCTCTCGGAAAAGGTTCGCTTCTCGAAACAGAAAATGTTTGCGGACAAATATCAGAGCATATTTCCGCGCCAAATACAGGCTATTGTTTTTATATCAAGTCACTGACCTGATATAGTCGATAATTCCCTAATCGTACCTTTTTGGTACGCTTCGATTCGGCGGCACATAGGGTTCATTTGGTCTCACCATGACTGCTTGGGCCCGACTGCGTCTCGCCAAAGTACAAACCATGGCTCGTTTAAAATCGCCTGATATGCCGGGAAAGCGTGGTGAAAAGGTACTCCATGAGATATTGATACTGGAAGATACTGGAAGATACTACCCACCAGATATCCTTGCAACAATACAAAATTAAACCTGAAGTTGTGTGATGAAATTCTTTGAGTAGGTATGACATATGACATTCAATTTGTAGGTAAACCGACTCCGGCTCCGACGACCACCGAGTCGACAACTACGACCGAGGCTACAACGACAACCGAGGCGACAACGACGACCGAGGCGACAACGACGACTGAGGCAACAACGACAACCGAGGCAGTAACGACGACCGAGGCTTCAACGACGACCAAGGCAGCAACGACGACCGAGACAACGACGACGACCAAGGCAGTAACGACGACCGAGGCAACGACGACGACCGACGCAACAACGACGACCGAGTCGACGACGACTGAGGCTACAACGACCACTGAGAAGCCCACTACTTCTCTACCGGTTTTGGATGTTTGCCAAGTGCAGAAGTTTGACTCATTCTTGATGGGTATGGATGGCAGAACGTACGTGTTCAGTGGGGATTATTTCTGGGTGCTCTCTGTTAGGCTCAGCGTAGAAAGCGGCCCCATAAAGATAACATCTAAATGGATGGAACTGAAAACGCCAATAAACAGCGCGTACACAAATCGTTACGGTAGGACCGTGTTCGTTAAAGGAAGCGAGTAAGTCAGTTAAATTGCCTTTGAATTATAAATGAGATAAAACAATATATTTAGTCTTTTGATGGAAGGAACCTTTAAGGTTGGGTTTGAGCGAGGTTTCATTGAACTGTCACATGTCCATGAAAGATAGTCTCTCGTGTAAACCGCCCTACTCTATTACAGATGGTCTCTCAATAAACAACAACAACAACAATAATAATAATAATAATAATAATAATAAATACTTTATTTGTAACGGAAAGAACCATCAGTGTTAACGAACACTGGTCTTAACAGGATGTCCAGTATCAATAAATATTTACAGCCGGAAAAAGGTTAACTGAAAATTTAAAACAATACATATATCTTATCAGATGTTTTTGTGTGTAGTATCGCTGTATATTTTCACGAGTTGCGCTGTATTTTGACGAGCCCGTAGGGCAACGAGTAAAAATATAAAGCGATACTAGACACCAAAACATCTCGGCCAATGAAAAGGAAGAAAAGAATACATCAAACGATAATATGTATTATTATTAATTATTTGTAATAATTACTGAATCTTCAATTCATTAACAATTCACAGATACTGGAAATATTATGGCTTTGTCTTAGAAGAAGGACCAAGAGACATCAGTCAACTAGGTCTGCCATCGACCCTGGGAAGCCCTGATGCGGCTTTTGTCTGGGGAGGCAATCAAAAGACGTATTACTTCAAAGGGGATAAATACTGGCGTTATGACGAGGACTACAGAACAGTGGAAGCTGGTTACCCGAGGTCCATTACGGTTTGGGGTGAGGGAGTTTACTTCATATTATTTCTTATTACACCCTTTGAGGTCTGACGAACGAACGGAGGAACGAACGAGCGGACGAAAGGACGCATAGACGGACGAACGGACGGACGAGGAACGAATGGACGAACGGATGAACGGACGAAGACGAACGGACGAACGGACGATCGGACGATCGGGCGAACGGGCGAACGGGCGAACGGGCGAACGGGCGAACGGGCGAACGGGCGAACGGGCGAACGGGCGAACGGGCGAACGGGCGAACGGACGAACGGACGGACGAAGAACTAACGGACGAAAGGGCGAACGGACGAACGGACGAACGGATGAGCTAATACAAATTGAGCCAGTCACTGATAAAATTTCTATTTTGAACTTGGAACATAGGCTACAACTCATGACGGTAGTCTGTTATTCTCAACTTAGGTTTTGTCGCGAGAAATGTCGGACAAACTGCTACATAGTAAATGGTTTGAACCCAGGAGTATCAGTAGTTCGTATAGTGTGATCGTCCGGGTGAGTGTAGTTCTGAAAAGAACTGTTGTTGGTGACTGAC